ATGAATTTCACTATATCTTTGAGTGTCTGGCCCTGAGTAAAGAACGGGAGAGATTTTTGAAATCATATCATAGAATTAGACCTAATACTTTAAAATTGTATCGGCTTTTTAACACATCTAATGAATTGGAGTTGTTAAATCTTTCTAGATTCTGTAAAGACATAATGAAGCGGTTTTTAATTCAGCCAGGTCATTTCTGACCACCGATTCAGTGCCATGTATGTTTATTTATTTACTTGCTTTTTGTAATTTTGGGCTGGTGCCTTATTATGCATTTCTTCTAATTTATAAATATATTTCGTGTGACGCTTCCATGTACATGCTTTTTTCGTTTGTATTATGTAATGTATATTATTTAGTTCTCTCATACCTCTATCGGAGGAAGCAAAGAGAAATAAATAAATTACTATTATTATTATAATTATTATAGTACGTTGAGTATACTTAATTCTTTGCTCCAAGACAACTTACTACGACCATTCGGCATTCATGAGTACCCCATTGGCTACGTAGAACTGCATTTGTTCTTCATCAAAAGACACCAATTTATTCCAGTAACGCCATCTCTGCATCTCTGTCTCTTTGAGCGTCTGACTACGACAACGACACACGAACACAAGATGGCTGCCACATGGAACGCATTTTCATTACGCATGCGCACAATGACAGAACAACATACATGTAACATCATATACATACAGGAATGTTATAACTATTGTCAGGAAAATTTATTTCCGTTTTAGAGTTAACTAACTTTTATTATATATATTTACATCTGTGAATGCATGCTCATGTCTTCTCATCTCGGAAAATAAATACTGCGGTACCATTCCATCCTATAGATTATGGATATAACAATTCATTCTTTCACTTCTCCTGAAAAATCTAATCCAACTTTGGAACGTAGAAATATTTGATCATTATTTTAAAATATTCCATTGACCATTGGTTAACCTTCAGCAGACTACTGTAAAATCGTACATTTGTGTTGATAAACATTGATTTTCCCACAATCCAGTACGCTTTTCTAATGAATTCACAAGTACGAGTTTTGTCCTGGGCGCCACTTGCACTAATAACCGTCGGTGAAACATTCAAATCACCAAAAAATACAAAATTAAAGCTTTGTAACCTCTCTGTTTGTACTGGTTGGTGTGCGCAACATTCAAAATCGCCATCTTTGTTTATATGAGCCCCATATCTCGCGCATGCGTGGCGCGAAGAACACTACCTTTAACTTCCATGACTCTCAGTTAACTTTCCATTAGTAAAAAAAAATATTTATATACGTGTAATCGTCAGCGCTAAGTTATTTGACGATCTTTACTGCTTTAAATACCGTGGCATATGCACGGCCTTTCACAAGGTTAACACTGTTGGTCTGCAGAATCCATCATAATAACATTAACTCGATTCTCTCATTGGTTCTCTTATGTGGGATCATAAGACATGCTTGTTGACATCAATGGTTCTACAAATGTTTTTCTCAAACAACCCGCCATGATTATTCGTGAAAGATTGTTACGGAAAGCAGTGCTCATAGCGCTGTAAATCAGAAAATTCCACAAACTGTTTGAAAATGCTAACCATGTAAAAACAAATTTCATTTCTGATGGCACAGGCGCTGAAGACATACTTGCGTACATTCTCCAAGTAACAAACGGAGCCCACGCAACCAGGAAGGCTCCAGTCACCACACATGATAGTTTAGCAGATCGAAATTTCCTCTTAGTCTTGCTTCTCTCAGGAAATAATATACCATTGGTATTGGTAGAGAGGGCGCTGGTTATTATCTCTCGATGGGCTATCATTCTGTTGTGCTTCCAAGAAACGTACATGATCTTACTATATATAAGTATCATGGTTGTTTCCGGGATAATGCCAAATACTGTTGCACCAATGGCGTTAAACCGGGCGCACTCTGGATCGTTACACTGCGGTAGACACACGTAGACCCCCTCCCCGTAGCTGTAATGACTTGGGTCTGTACGACTCACCAACAGCGTCACCCATGCCAAGTTCACTGTCCATATAAGGGCTATGCAAATGTAACAGCGGTGAGTCGTCACGTAAAATGGATAACGGAGTGGATAGTTTATGGCAAGGTAGCGTTCTATGCTGATCGCCCAGAGCGAGTGTATTGAAATACCGCATAACATAAACTGCAATCCACCTGTAAGCCTACATGCAACATCACCGTACGACCAGCACTCAGTAATTGATGGGTGTATAGCAAATGTTGTTTGAATACCAACTCCAATATCAGCAATGGCTAGTGACACCATAAAGTAGCGAGAATTCAATGGCAGTGTCTTGGTGGATTTTAAAACAATCACGTTAAGAATATTTGAACCTATAATTAATGAAGATAGAACAAGAATGAAGACTGTGATGATAGCCATTAGGTAGAGATGAAAGTCCGTGTACTACAACTATATTCTCTTTACCGTCTGCGATGTCCAGCTTTCACGCGTAGCTCTAGTGAATGAAGATAGAACACAAACAATTATTTCTAATGTCCATTTCGGATAAAGCAACGTACACGTCACAGAAACGCACTGCAACACATCACACGAATGCACGTAATTACATACATAGTTATAAACACCATGGTCAAACTTTCAACCAGTTATAGATAATCGTATATTGTATTTGGAACGTGCACAATACCGGTTGCGGAATACAATCCAAACAAACAAAAACAATTTTTAAAATGTAAAAAACGAACTGTGCTAGACAGTGAACAGAAATAAAATGACACGGAAATAAATCATTAATTACTGAAGCCTTGATGATTAGAGGCATACATAAACAAAGCATTACAGACATTTCCCCCAGACTTAGAGGTGATTGATGATTACAGTAAAAAAAAGTCTGATCATATTCCAGTTACACAGGTTACAAATGCGATTGTCCCTTAATGCTATTATACCCGCTTTTATTAACCGGATGCATATAGACAGAAACTAAATTTTGTTCCCATTCTATATTTGTTATTTTTTAGTTATATCCATTTAATGTTCATAATAGCATTTACATTTAAATAATTTACACGCATTTAATGATTTGTAGTCAATTCATTTTTCATTGAGTTACTCAACAAAAAAGTGGCGAGCTGTGTAACTAGTGAAATATTTTTAACAAAGCTGTACTGAGGATTCAAAACGTTCAACAGTTACATCAAAAATCACAATAATAGTTTTTTCTTACAGAATAGCCGTAGGTAATATTAAAAAACGAAAGAATGTATGCTAACCATGAGTGGATATTGTCAAAGTTGACCCATACAAGCTATGGGGCGCCTTCTGTGTTTATATTTATATGTACTACGATTTAAGCTTATTATATACAACAATGAGAATAAGATGGTTATTTATAAATAATCAACTTTCACAACAGTTTGATTTGAATGCAAATGTTGTACTACTGAGCATTCTACTGCGCACTTATACTATACAATGCATTATGGGATCACATCTCCCGTTTGATGTATTTATTTTGGAATAATTCAACATTGGGATTAATATAAATAATTTACTGAACCGTATGACACCCCATAATGTAGCTGTGATTGTTTATTTTCAGTTCAAATAAAATATAATTCATAGCTAATAATGTCTTGTCATGTGACCTCCTAGGCCAGCTGAATAATCCGCAATAAGCGGTTGTTTATGTTGATCCAAATGTAGGTTGATAAAATTGCACTTAGTAAGACAATGTCATGCATGCATACATGTGTGAAGGTTTATTTTGATGACAATAGTTAATGTCCGCCATTGAGGTCATTATATTGATGTCATGCTGGTATTACCATCAGATGGTGCTGAGATGGCCTTTAGCCAGAGGTAACCCTGGGTGAACTCTTTATAACTAACGGTCAGCATTTGAATATGTCATGTCAGTCCCATCTGACCACATTGTCTGTGCAATTTCAATGTATGTGAGTCAGATTTGAGGCATGTCGTGGTTGTTTGCTTTTGCTCTGTGCAAAGCAATAGAGAGAGCATATAATGCTGTATATTTACAACTTCTATGATGAATTGTTTCTGGGCAAACAACCATTATGTGAATCACTGTATAAATCACGCGTCAACTGATGAGTGAAATAGTATGACAATGTTTCAACTATTGTGCATATCAATTATATTCTGTGTTCTTCTCAGGTTACACAAAATAACATAGTATTTGCAAACAATATGTGACCTAAATTGTCAGTGAATGCAATTTTTCCATTATTGAAAATTCTCGATAACCGTTCTGAAGTCTGGTATGCAAAATAGTACAGAATGCTGTCAGAAACACTGGAATTGTGATTCTTCAACATGGTTGGTAATAACAAATCTACATCCTTTTCAAAACAAGAGAAAACAAATCAGATTATTTGAATAAAAATTATAGTAGGAGAGCAACAATTACTACTGCAATAACAAGTTCGATTGTTGTTTATTTTAATTCAATTTTTATTTGGAATGAAATGAAGAACTCCTCTTTTTATATGACTGCCAACTGTATAGTATAGTACAACAGTGACAGGTTTCCGTCAATATATACTTGGCTAATTCACTGTTGTTATCAGAGTCTAGATTATGCTAAATGTGTCCATACAACATTGGAACTATAAGGCAATAGTCCAACAGTAAAGTAATTCAACATGAGGTTGTCATTAGATTAACTCTGGGAAAACAAAAAACTATGATTTGAGTAACAGCTGTATTCCAAAATGATGTTAGTGTATTTTTTCACTACTAATAATATTTATTCTGTGCTGATTTATGACGTGACCATTATCAATATTGGAGGGAGAGATGTTAAAATACTTCAAAATATTATTTCCTTCTCAGATTTGTTGTAGATTTTTTGCTGGCTTTTCTCTATTAAATTTGTGAGATTATAACGTAATGTGATTATATCATTCTTTTTTTTACATTCATATGGTATTCTTTAAAACTGGAAGTTCCTTACATTTCCTGCACATATACAAAGTCTAGTATAATCACGGTCAGAACAACCTGCCCAGTTACGAACTCCCTCGGGACAAATCCGTCCACCAGCAGTGGAAGTAATCGAAATTACAAAACATTGCTGCCATGTACCTTAGTTACTCAACGATATGCAAAACATGACTGTATTAGTGTTCTGATGGCCAATAGATACACAAGTAAAATTCCATACTGCCCAGATAGTTTGTTATGACCATCCCCAGGCACCTTCCTCCACAGCTCCTCGATTTTTTTGTGGGAATGTTATTCTCAGCATACCTTTCTTATGAAAGAAAAATGAGGATTTCCGATCCTTGCCAAATATTAACCTCAACAACAGTTTTTATTTGTTGCCACTGGTCCATTCTTGGTCAAACACATATCTAGTAGAAGTATTGTACATGGTTATTATGGTTGTCATACTATTAGTTGAGCTACTATTACCTGGTCCGGGGACTTAGTAATGGGCTCACTTGTTGGTTAATGTTTATACCCCGATTGTAGGCATTGTTCCAATGGTTACATTTAGGATCTGTATGGCAAGATAGTTAAATCAGATTAAATCTCTTTGATCTCGCTGATTATCAGATATACATTTTCTGATTTTGGTAAGCTTGTTGGAATCACAATATCATGACAATTATGGGCATAGAGTGGCTCAATTGCATCATGTAACCATATTTTTAGTAGAAATACATTTGAAAATACAGTGTGAATACACCACATCAGCAAAGCAAAATCAGTTTTGGGTCAGGTAGTATGGTCTAGTGGTTAGTGCAGTGTCGCCTGCAGTGGCGAGGCGCTGTGCTATGTGAGCAAGATTGAATCTTTTGTTGTGTGTTGTTATGTGTAGTTTTTATGTCCCACAGACGTTGAAGGACAGCAACAGTGTTCAATAATTATAACATGTCTTCTCCAGACTTATGAAAATCACGAGGAATGTTGTACACACGTCGTAGAAGATGTTTGCATGAGTGCGCATAACAGCAGTGATCATTTTAAATTTTAGCATTCCATTACAGTATGAATTCAACTATATACATGCATGTTTTTTTGCATTTGTAGTAGTGGGAATTCCAATTAATCGGTAGAACAGATTAAACTTCAATGGTAATATAATAATCTACAATATTACTTCAGTTTATATTCCTGTGTGAGAATCAATATTCGGAAGATGAGTGTACAACAGGTACATATTAAGCTAGATCTTAACATATTTTTATGGGAACATTTTTGACATTTCGAAATTATACAAATATGTTATGTGCCATGCTCTTTTGACCTAGTTTACAAAAGGGAGATTTGTATTTGAGTAAACATGGACACCAATCAATATTTAAAGAAATCTTTATGGCCTAGACCCAGCTGCACAAACTCAGTAGGTAGGTTTTTGACAGATATGACAGAGAACAAGATAGGGCTGAGTACTGAACCAGGGAGCACCCCTTAAAATTTAATTTGTTTTATTGCTGTTTAATCAAATAGTAATTTCTAGCTTTTTCTTGTTTTATTTGCAATAAGTTCTTGTGCTGAATTCAGTACGCATAATTTGAAGGCAGTATACATCCTTTAGAATGTGATGGGTAATGATCGTAGTATCAATTAATGTTATTCATTATTAAAAGGGATTGACGACACGAAATAAATTATGATCACATGAAAACCAACAAAGATGTGGTCAGAGTAGTGATCAGGGTAAAATGTGTATAATTTGTGGTTCTAATGGTAAACTACCTGGAGGTGACGCAAAAGAATCCATACCTCTAATCTTGTGATGAAGGTGACTTTGAAACAGAAATGTTGAAACTGTTAGATAGTGTAGCACGACCTACAATCGGTTTTCCCATGAGACATCAACTTTTATTCTGACAGCTTCGTCTTCAACCAATGATAGAAAAAATAAATCATACAGATACAATTTGAATACAAACTTCAACCGGGAGGATCGTCACCTGCGCACGCGCGGAAATTGTATCCCAAACGACGGTAACAACACACGCTAAAAACACAAAGGCTCATGGGTAGACAATTTGTAAACAATGACACGATATAGCCATCTGACGCATGCGCAGGTGACGACTCCCCCGCTTTAATACCTTTTCACAATAATCAATCAGGAAGGCATATCCTCACTCTTTAATGATAGAATTCTTAATTAAAAAACCCTGAGGCATTCCTATCCGAATAAATGTTCCACTAATGATCTGTGTTTTAACAATACATGTCAAGAATGTATTTCTATACCCATTTATAATTTAAGTCAACCTATTCATAGTGTATTGTGTATTTTATATATTGGCTTGGGGTATCCCCATCATAATCACATATGCTGCCCACAGGCCTATTACTTTTGTTCTGATTTTGTACTTTTGTT